AAAAAGCATCGGTTATATACAGTCAAATGCCTTCGAATTTTGGGAAGAAACGAGATTCGAACATTGTATGTAGCAACACGATGACAGAAATTGTTTCACGGAGCTCAATAGTGTCTGGATATGTTCAAAATGGCAAGTATGAAGATTCCTTCAAAACTTTTGTTTCTATGATCCGTGAACGGGCTGTGATGGACAGATTTACCATTGCAAGCATCATATCGGCGTGTTCTAATGCTGGCGTTTTAGAGCTTGGACGTCAAATCCATGCTTATATTCAGAAAACTGGGGAACAGCTTGATGCTCACCTAGCTTCCTCCTTGATTGACATGTACGCTAAAGGTGGGAGTTTGGATTGTGCCTATCAAATTTTTGTGCAAACGACTTACTTAAATGTTGTGACATGGACTTCCATGATTACTGGATGTGCTTTGCACGGTCAAGGTAAGGAAGCCATTCGACTGTTTGAACAGATGAGATATGAAGGAATCATACCAAATGAGGTTACTTTTATAGGAGTTTTAATAGCTTGCAGTCATGCAGGGCTGCTCGATGAAGGCCGTCTATATTTTAACATGATGAAAGATGTTTATGCAATTGAGCCGAAGGTTGAGCATTTCACTTGTATGGTAGATCTTTACGGTCGAGCTGGACGCTTGAATGAAGTCAAAGAGTTCATCTACCAGAACAATTTATCACACCATAGTGCAGTTTGGAAGGCATTTCTATCGTCTTGTCGGCTTTACAAGGACATCAAAATGGGAAATTGGGTTTCTGAGAAGTTGTTTAAACTCGAACCACGAGATGAAGGGCCTTATGTTTTACTATCAAACATGTGTTCCAGCAACCAAAAGTGGGAAGAAGCTTCCAAAACAAGAAGATCTATGCAACACAGAGGGATTAGCAAAACACCTGGTCAATCTTGGATTCATGTGAAAAATCAAGTCCACTCTTTCGTTGCAGGAGACCGATCGCACCTTCAACACGCTCAGATATATGCATATCTGGACAAGCTAATTGGAAGATTGAAGGAAATTGGGTACTCATGTGATGTAAAATTGGTGATGCAGGATGTTGAAGAAGAACAGGGTGAAGTACTTCTTGGTTGGCATAGTGAAAAGCTTGCAGTTACTTATGGTATTATCAGTTTGGCTTCTGGCATTCCAATCCGCATCATGAAGAACCTTCGGGTATGTACAGATTGTCATAACTTTATGAAGCTAACATCTCAGCTTTTAGATAGGGAGATCATTGTTCGAGATATTCATCGTTTCCATCATTTTATCTCGGGTCGTTGCTCTTGTGGTGATTATTGGTGAGCTGAGATAGAGATTCTGATACATGTGAATGTTCATGCATAAAATTACTCTGCTTTGCTTAGAATCCTGTAGCATTGTTGGTGGAAACAAGGCAAATATCCATTAGAAGAAGCCGAAATCTTAACATTTTGCTTCTTAGTTTGCAAAAGCTTACCTGGTGAAATGATTCAGAACTTTCACCACTCTATTTTCCATTAAGAAAAGATGGTGAATTGGTGAAGCGCAATGGCTCAGTCTTACAAACCACCTCAACAGAGTTTTAAAAACACATGTTTAATGGAGACGGATTGCTTTCAGCCTCGAATGTTGTCACGCATGGTAAGATTCAATGGTAGACTTTTGAGAATACCTTTGTGAGATCGATCCCACATCGGTTGGAGAGGAAAACAAAGCATTCCTTATAAAGGTGTGGAAACCTCTCCCTAACAAACACGTTTTAAAACCTTAAGGGAAGTCTGAAAGGGAAAGCCCAAAGAGGACAATATTTGCTAGCGGTGGGCTTGAGCTGTTACAAATGGGTATCATATCCAGACACCGAACGGTGTGCCAGCGAGGACGCTAGGCTCCCAAGGGGGGTGGATTGTGAAATCTCACATCGATTGGAGAGAGGAACAAAGAATTCCTTATAAGGGTGTAGAAACCTCTCCCTAACAGACACATTTTAAAACCTTGAGGGAAAGCCTGAAAGAGAAAGTCCAAAGAGGACAATATCTGCTAGCGATAGGCTTGGGCTGTTACAAATGATATGAGAGCCAGACACCGAGCAGTGTGCCAACGAGTCGCTGGCCCCCCAAGTGGGGTGGATTGTGAGATCCTACATCGGTTGGAGAGGAGAACAAAGAATTCCTTATAAGAGTGTGGAAACCTCTCCCTAACAAACACGTTTGAAAACCTTGAGGAGAAGTCTGTTCAGGAAAGCCCAAAGAGTACAACTTTTCTGAAAATTGGTTTTATGTGATCTAAAATTATCTAAGGCAATTTAGTTAAAAGCACTTTCTAGTATGCTGATAATGTTCTCCCTCCAATTTACAGTGCAGCCACTGAAGCTATAGTTTGTGAAGAAACAAATGGAACATGAGAACACAACAGTTTCAAAAGGGAAATCAATATGCAATGACAAAGGATCTAACAAAGAGGTTTGAAATGAAATATACAAATTTTATGTTTCCTTAACACAGACATGGAAGTTGCATTGCAGAAACAGAAAAATGATACAAAATCTACTTGACGAAGTAAGGAAGGTCCAAGACATAGAGGAGGAAGTACGCCCAGATCACGCCGGAGATCCCGCCAAAGAAGAATCCGCCAGAGAATTTTGCCCACCCGTCAGCTGTTTGCAGCTGATCCGGTGTCTTCTTCCGACCGGTCAAGGTCAACGACGGTGCAGTGGATGGCTCTCCTTCATTGAAGGATGCAACTCCATACATTGTCAAGCAGATGCTCAAAATGACAATGAGGCCGCCTGCAGCCAGCGAGCCAGCTCCTCCGGCATAGGCGGTGTTCCTCAGAGGACCAGCTTTAACAAACGGACCGACGAGAAAAAAACCATGTGCCAAACCGACTTCAATTCCCCTCAGCAATGGACTGACTGCTGTCCTGTAAGCTGGGAGGTTTGAGAGGTACCAGGCTATCAGAGGGCTTGAGGTTACTGGAGTCTCAAGGCTTCCAATGAAGGGGTCTCCATTGATGGGCTGAATCACTTGGTAAGTTGGCTGCAACAGTTTCAATAGCTTATTAACATGTGGAGAAGTGTTTATACAACTAGTTTGTTTCGGTTAGTAATAACGACTCTCCACAATGGTATGATATTGTCCACTTTGAGCATAAGCTCTCATGGCTTTGCTTTGACCTTCCTCAGAAGGCCTCATACCAACGGAGATGTATTCCTTACTTATAAACCCATAATCATTTCTTAAATTAGTCAACGTGGGACTCCCTCCTGACAATCCTCAACAATCATCCCCTCGAACAAGGTACACTATAGAGTCTCCCTTAAGGTCTATGGAGCCCTCGAACAGCATCCCCTTAATCAAGGCTCGACTCCTTCTCTGGAGTCCTCGAACATAGTGCACCATTTGTTCTATACTTGAGTCACTTTCAACTACACCTTCGAGACTCACAACTTATTTGTTCGACATTTGAGGATTCATTGATATGACTAAGTTAAGGGCATGACTCTAATACCATGTTAGGGACCACGACTCTCTACAATGGTATGACATTGTCCACTTTGAGCATAAGCTCTCGTGGTTTTACTTTGGGCTTCCTCAAATGGCCTCATATCAATGGAGATGTAATCCTTACTTATAAACTCATGACCAACCCCTTAATTAGCTGATGTAGGACTCCTCTCCCAACAATCCTCAACGAATTCTTACTCAACTTGTAGAGATCTTTAAGTTCGTATCCCTTGAAATAGTAAGGTATATATATCTTGAAAGCTGAAAGAGGGGAATTATGCATTGGGTTACCTTATCAGCTTGTATTGCTCTGATGGTGAAGGAGTGTGTTCTTGCAGGGACACGTCGGAGCGGCGAGGCGGAGAGGCCTTTGGGAGCGATCAAAGCTCTGGTGTTTGATGAAGTAAAGGCGGAACTGAGCTGGCTGGCAATGGGGGAGGTTGCAGTGGCCATGGCTGCAGCTGCTGCTTCTGCTTCTGCTGCCTTTGGTTTGTGAAAGGATCAATGGCAGAGAAGAAGAAGAATGAGGTGAGGATTTTAGATTTGGCTTTGGGTGTTGGTTTATTGTTAGTGGCCATTGAAATTTGTGGGAAGCTTTGGTTGATCAAGCCTCTCTCTTCTCATTGGATGGAACTTGCCACGTAATCTTATCCCTTATCCATATTTTTTTAATTATTTATTTATAATAATATATCCATCCGAATTAAATAAGTCTCCTACAACTTCTCTTTGGAATATAATTTTTAAAAATAAATAAATAGATTTTTTGCGTATTAATATTTTACTTTAATTAAAAATAAAATTTTAAAAAACTTTAAATTAGTAAATAAAACTTTAGAAAATCATGAACAAAATAGCATACCTATTGGTTTGAGGCCTTTTGAGAAAGTCCAAAGCAAAGCCATGAGAGCTTATGCTCAAAGTGGACAATATTATACCATTATCTATCTCCAATTATCTATTAATTGTGGCGGATAGATTAGTATTGTTGGTTTGATGGAAATAACAATAAAATGTCGAGAATCTCAATATTATGGAATTGTTAACGGACATATTGATAAATTGTCAATATCTACTCACCCTTTTCGTATTAGCGATTGACATGTTGTTGTAGACCATTTTCTATCAACCGAGCTTCCTCATTTACTTTGTGAAAAAGGTAGTGTTTTAGTTAATTATACGTCGTGTTGTCTTTATTTGTTTCAAGTTTTGAAGTTTTTGTCTATTAGTCCTATAGTTTTCATTTTCGAAATGATCATAGCTTATTTCAATTCCGAACGATTGAGATACTATTCCTCTTAAAATAAACATCGAACAAGGATAGTGGAATATACCATTTTGCTTCATACTCGATGTCATGCATTTTACAAACGTTCTAATACATTGTTCTATATAAGTTCCACGAATCATTTGCATCCTAATAATGGTGAGTCTTTTTTGCTCAAGCATATGTTTCACGTTCTCCAGGAGGAGGATGAAGCGTTCTTTATAAGCATGTGAAAACCTCTCTCTAGCAGACACGTTTTTAAAACCTTAAACAGAAACCCAGAAGGGAAATCCCAGGAGAAACCCAGGAGGAAAATTCCAGAGAAACCCAGAAGGGAAATTTCGAAGAAACCTAGAAGAAGACAGTATCATCTAGCAATGGGCACATCTAGTCGTGAGTGGTGGACTTGGACTGTTACACTCATGCCACAGTGCTGTTGTCTACTAAGAGAAATGGTAGTATCTTATTCGCTTCAATACTCTCAATGCATAGATGGTACAAATGAATCCAAGACTCTTGTTGTTGATGCATGCGCATCAGTTCCCTATTTTACATGGTTATCGCTCACGTTTTTTTATTCGTTCTATTCATTTTTGCATCAGTTCCCTATTTTACATCTTGCCTCAACTTCTCCAGGGACGTTCAAAGAGGAACCAAATCAAACTATTTTGCAAAGGTAATGGCTCACAGGCTAAGGAAAATTCACTCAAAGTTTATAATTTCAGCTTACATTCAATGAAATCTATTGTTTTCAATGTACAAAATCCAAATTAGATAGAACCAAAGGATGTAAATCCAATTGGGTTTATTGAATTTGAAACCAAAGGTTCTCTCTCTCTCTCTCTCTACGCTAAACCTTTAACTAGAATGTTGATTCGGAGGAACGCCCCACTTCTCTTCCCGTTCTTTCCTCTCGAAGTTAGAACTTAGAATCACGAGGCTAAAAGAAGCATGTACAAGAAAGAACCTGATACTGATACCGATACTGATACCGATACTGATATCAACAGCTCGTATTTACACCAGTTGATTAACGCCGCCCCCCTAAGTTTAGTCGAATCAAAATACTGAACCAACAATGAATCATCTGCGATGACTTTGAATCTCTTGGTTAAGAAGAGTCAGCACGTCTCGATCAACTGTTGACCTATTATCATTTAAAAGAGTATAGAGTGAGTTTAGTTCTTCCGAGTTTGCCTTCTTCAACAATCCCCTAAGTACTATATCGACTCTAGTAGGCCTAGGATTGGCCTCGTGATTCCTTTCGGTTGTTTGCAAGTTTCGACTAATTTCTGTCGACTGAGATAGTTGTGGATTGTGTACATGAGGCCGAGAATAGGGCCGAGAGTCCCAATACTCACAACATACTCGATTTTGATCGATCGCCTCAATGGCCTGCGTAAGTACAAAACAATGCACCAATATGAGAAGCCTATTCAACCATGAATCGATATTAAATATTTGGAACAAGCCCACTGCAACAATGGTGACCCGTGCACGAGGCACCTAGATACCGTGCAACTACCAATGTTTGAGAGAGATCACGAAGTGACTAACGGACGTGTTTAAGAAGTGATTTACCTGAACAATTGCCGGTGAGGTAAACCCGAACATTTCTAGCCCATCTAAGCTCCCGGGAGGCTGTAGAGGAGGGAGATTTGTTCGACCCAACTTATGTTGCTTCGCGATTTCGTGATTGACTCGGTTTCTAACCAACTCCCAACATCTGCAAGCAGAAACATGAACGAATACCTCACTTGGACAATGCTCCAAAACAACCTGTAAAGAGATTAAAGAATTTAAGTATAATAGATATCCAATGACAATCACAAAATATAAACTTGAACTCAAGAAACAAGCAACAATGCTCTCTTAAAGTGGGTTGTGATTTATCCAAGAAAAAGAGAATAATTAGCTACTACAGCATAGATGATCACATATGGGGGCTCGTGGGATTGACATGAGGGGGTGGGGATGGCTATATTTCTGGGAGCGAACTCTTACTAAAACTATGAGATCCCACGTCGTGGGGAGGAGAACGAAGCATTCTTTATAAGGGTGTAGAAATCTCCCCCTAACAGACGCGTTTTAAAAAACCTTAAGGAGAAGCCTGAAAGAGGACAATATCTGCTAGCGGTGGGCTTGGTCTGTTACAAATGGTATTAAAGATAGACACTGGGCGATGTGTTAGCGAGGAGGCTGAGCCCCGAAGGGAGGTGGACACGAGGCGGTGTGCCAGCAAGGACGCTGGGCCTCGGAGGGGAATGGATTGTGAGATCTCATATCGATTGAGGAGGATAACGAAGCATTCTTTATAATGGTGTGGAAACCTCTCCCTAGTAGTGCGTTGTAAAGAACCTTGAGGGAAAGCCCAAATAGTATAATATCTACTAGCATTGAGCTTAGACTGTTACAAATGGTATTAGAGTCCGACATAGGGCAATGTGCCAGCGAGGAGGCTGAGCCCTGAAGGGGGTGGACACGAGGCGATGTGTCAGTAAGGACGTTGGGCCCCGAAAGGGGGTGGATTGTGAGATCCCATATCGATTGGGGAGGAGAACGAAGCATTCCTTATAAGGGTGTGGAAACCTCTCCCAAGTAGACACGTTTTAAAAATCTTAAGAGAAACTCGAAAAGGAAAGGCCAAAAAGGACCATATATGCTAGAGGCTTTCCCTCAAGGTTTTTAAAACGCATCTGCTAGGGAGAGGTTTCCACACCCTTATAAAGAATGCTTCGTTCTCCTCCCTATCCGATGTGGGATCTCACAACTTCTCTCCATGAAGCATCCTCGATCACTCTTTGTGTCCGAAGATATATTCAATGAGTTAAAATACAAGATCATACAAAAAGGTATATTCAATGAGTTGTTTCCGAACGATGAACTACTCTCCTTTTTCAATCAGGGTCATACCGTATCGCAGACATTATTCAAGAAGGAGCTGACAAGCTAAGTATCGAACGAAGAAGCCATCGAGAAAAGGATAAGGAAGTGAGGTGATGTAGAGAGAACGGAGGGCGCAACAAGAAATACAAAAATATTCATAGAATCACACAAAAGTCGTATAGTCTTCACTTTAAGAAGTGACAAGAAAAAAAAAAGTAAAAAGTAAGACGTTCGACGAAAGTAACGCTAAAGATCAAGGTTAAAAAATTTACCATGAAAAGCGGTCCTTCCCGTCCAACATCGAGAATTTCAGAAACATAGTAACATACAGTTGACGGATCTAAAACGCTTATATACTTGACCCGGCTCTTAAATCCTGCAAAATAAATATAAGTACGTAACGAGTGAAAGCGGGTCATAGTTAACACATCGAGGTAACAATTGATCTTTCAAAATCTAATGAAACCTGTAAAACAGAGATTTCAATACCTTTTGGAAAAATGGCCCGACTGTTCGACCAAGACTTTCCCGAGATCACATTTCCATATTCTAAAGGCTCGACATTGCAGTTAATCCTCCGTACGACCTTCGCCATTCGAGGACCCTTTTGCCTCAAGAATCTGTCCACATTAGCACAAGAAGTAGCACTTGTTCCGACGTTTCCCTGCTTAGCCTCGATCGGTTTTCCAGAGTCACACATTTGTGGTTTTTGAGAATCAATGTCCGTTGAAGCTCGAAATAAAATATTACTTTGACCTAATCCCGCTTCTGAAAAACTATTGTTCTGAACGGCATTAGCTGCATTTCTAACCAATAAGTTCACGTTTGGAGACTGTTTATTATTTAAAGGTTCAACGCTCGATTGACAACTATTCGATGTTCTGTCTTCCTTTTCGACCATGGTTGTTGCATCGGTCACCGGGGTACGCAAGATTGCATTTTCATTGTAGTTGCACAGGCTAGCCTTAGAATCAACCTCAGCGAACCGATCTGAACTTTCAGCTAAACCATTTGAAATCTTCTTCTTATACTCATCGCCTTCATCATCACTTAGTAGAATGACATTTTCAGGACACATTTTATGCATTCGATTTTTCGCTTCTACCAAATTCAGAGCATTTGTATTGGTTGAAACGAGTTCATGGTTTTCGCTTTTCACTTCAGATTTAAGGTTTTTCTGCTCGACTTCCTTCCCAGATCCATTAAGTGTAGAAATTACCTTCTTATCTTCTAGATGTGAAGCAGTAACTTCGGATACCTTTTCGGCACGGTGAGACGGGCTGTCAATAGCAGTTAGAGTTGGCAATAATGAAGATCGAATCAAGAAATCTTCCAACCGAGAATTCACGAACGACTTGGTTGATGATTGAGAATTCAACTCCCTCGATGAACTAAGCGCCAGACCGAGATCCTGCCTAGCCCACCTGTATATTGCACTTAGTTTTCCTTCCAATGCTTCAAGAAGTATGTTCAGTTCACTGATATCATAACGAAAGAGAAAAAATTTCTCTTCCCATGCACAAGAACACAACTGGTTTGCATGATTCAAGCACACATACTTATCTGGTGAACAACGGCACCCAACTGCAGATAGATGCAAGTCAAAGAGGCATGAACTGCATTCTCTCTCATTAGAGGCATCAAAGTTGCTTTCCATCTTCATTGCCCGAGAAGAACTGCACGGAATGTTCCTCCGTGCACACTCCAGCTCAACACGTGTCTGCCAAACAACGCAACTCAGAACGTTTATTTATGTCCATTAGACCATTCAAACGGGGAAATTCTCAATCAATGTAATATATAGTTACGTGTTACTGCCCAAGCCCACTACTAACAGATATTGTCCTCTTTAGGCTCTCCCTCAAGGCTTTAAAACGCGTCTGCTAGGAAGGGGTTTCCACACCCTTATAAAGGGTGTTTCGTTCTCCACACCAACCAATGTGGGATTTCACAATCCCCCCCTTCAAGGCCCAGCAAGGACGCTGGCACTCGTCTACCAAACAACACAACTCAAAACATTTATTTATGTCCATTAGACCATTCGAACAGGGAAATTCTCAATCAATGTATTATATAGCTACGTGTTACGGCCCAAGCCCACCGCTAGCAGATATTGTCCTCTTTGGACTTTCCCTTTCGAGCTTCCCCTTAAGGCTTTACAATGTGTCTGCTAGGGAGAGGTTTCCACACCCTTATAAAGGGTGTTTCGTTCTCCACCCCCACTGATGTGGGATTTCACAATCCACCCCCTTCAAGGCTCAACGTCCTCGCTGGCACTCATGTCTGCCAAACAACGCAACTCAAAACATTTATTTATGTCCATTAGACCATTCGAACAAGGAAATTCTCAATCAATGTATTATATAGCTTCGTGTTACGACCCAAGCCCACCACTAGCAGATATTGTCC